CCAGGCAGGAGTTGATGGGAAAGACCTCCGCCTGAGACTCTGGAGAACTGCTGCCAGCCCGAGTAGGCAATACTGCCCTTGATGGACCAAGGGTGTAATTCAGTGTAAGGCAGATTTGCCTGTGTTAACCCTCCAACTGTTCTTTCCAGCTTGCTCTTTTCCACTTTCATCCCAGGTCTCTTTCCTTCGACCTTTTGCTTCCTCCACCCCGCCCATCCTCTTGCGTCTCTCCCTCTCCTCTCAACAATCATTATTCCCTGCTTCTTGGACCTCTGAACGTGACTTCAGCATCCAAAGCGGGCCTCTCTCCCGCTCGCTTTCCCCATACATGAGTGCTGTTCCCCAGGTCTGGTCTTAGGGGACGTGGAGTCCCAGGCAAAATTCCGGGATTGGGTCTCAAAATCTTTTAGGTGGCATAGGGGGAGGGGGGGTCAGCTGCAGGATGGTGGGGGGCCCAGTGTTCCCCCTAAGCTGAGTTAGTGTGAGCCAGCTCACAGTTTCTTAGCCTCCGGCTCAGACATTTTCGTCTCAGCTCAGGAAGGGGGGCTCCAGAGCAAAGGGCAGTAGCCAAACTGCTCGCTCCCAACTTTCATGCCAGTTGCTCACAAAGCAGAGTTTTTGCTCACGAGACTCCACAGCTCAGAGGGAGGCATTGGCGGGGGGGTCCCCCATGGCTAAGACCATCCCTGTCATTTAGGTGTGTGTAAAGCGCCGTCCAGTCACAGCCGACATAGGGTGATCCTGCAGGGTTTTCTGGACAGGAGACAGACAGAGGTGGTTTGTGTATAGATAGGGACTCTGGGGCAAGGGATGCTCTGTCTTCTTGGTGCTTGGGGGGGTCAACAGTGGGAGGGCTTCTAATGTTCTGGCCCCACTGCTGGACCTCCTGGTGGCACCTGGTATTTCTGGCCACTGTGTGATACAGAGTGTTGGCCTGATCCAACATTGGCATCTCTTATGTTCTTATTGCCTGCCTCTGCGTAGCAAACCTGGCCTTCCTTGCTGGTCTCCCACCATTCCTTAGCTGGCCCCGCTTAGCTTCTGAGATCTGATGAGATCGGGCTCGCCTGGGCCATCCAGGTCAAGGCAAGAGACGTTTAGAGGTAGTTGGTCATTGCCTGCCTCTGCATGGCAACACTGGGCTTCCTTGGTGGTCTCCCATCCAACTACTGACCAGGGCTGACCTCACTTCGCTTCCGAGATCTGCCATTTACACCAGACAGTGAATGGAAGAAGTCACACCGGCCCTGTCGCCCAGGTGGATTTTGCATTCGACTCTCCAAGGCCGAGAAGCCGGTTCTTCTCTTCTCCCTCCCCCCAACACACTGTTGGGTTTTTCTTCACAGCTTGTCCCTTTCTTTTTTCTTGCTTTCCCCAGTCTCTCCTCTTGGGATTTGCAGACCATGCATACAACCACACACACACACAGAGAGAGAGAGAGAGAGAGAGAGAACTTAGAAATCTTGCCAGTCGTCAGGAGAAGACAGATGGGGTGGGTGAAATGTGGTAGTACGGGCTGAACTGCACATTGGCGCATTCCGAGGGTATTGCTTTCAGACTGGCTGACGTGTCTTCAAACCACTTCTGCTCAAAGGGTTAATGTCTCCACCAAGCGTCTTGCAAGGATGCTTTCTGATTCCGATAATCAGCAGCTGCCTTCCCCCAGCGAGAAGCAAGCGGAGGGGACAGCATCTGTGACAATAAGCGACGGGCCAAGTTGGGCAGGGAGGGGAAATCGGCCGCGGGCCTGCCATTCCGTTTCCACAAAATGGCCTTCTGACAAAAGTAAACACGGACTGAGGCTCTAACTTCGTGTGAGCGCAGCTGGTGGGCCTTTAAACTGGCGCTGCCGGGGATCGAACCTGGGGCCTTCTGCCTGCTGAATTTATTTTATTGACTTTGATCTTGATAAAGCCGCTTTATACAGAATCAGACCTTTGGTCCATCAAGGTCAATATTGTCTACTCTGATCGGCGGCAGTTCTCGAGGGTCTCAGGTTGGGGTCTTTCCCATCACCTCCTGCCTGGTCCTTTTTAACTGGAGATGTTTGGGATTGAACCTGCGGCCTTCTACATGCCAAGCAGAGGATCTCCCACTGAGGCAAGGCCCCTGTTTACAGCTCTCCAGGGTCTCAGGTTGGGGTCTTTCACATCACCTCCTGCCTGGTCCTTTTCAACTGAAGATGCTGGGGATTGAACCTGGGGGCCTTCTGCATGCCAAGCAGAGGCTCTTCCATTGAGCCACAGCCCCTCTTGACAGCTCTCCAGGGTCTCAGGCGGAGGTCTTTCCCATCACCTCCTGCCTGGTCCTTTTTAACTGGAAATGCTGGGAATTGAACCCGGGACCCTCTGCACGCCAAGCAGAGACTCTTCCATGGAGACTCTTCCATGGAGTAGCTCTCCAGCTGAGAACTTGGAGTGCGGCTGCCCATCCAAAGAGACAATGCTGACCTTGATGGACCGAAGCGGCTTTACGCGTTGCCGTGTCCTTTCCAATTTCACTTTTCGGTGACTTCTCCGCCTTCTCTTTTCTCCTTCCCTTCCCATCAGAGCCTTGTTCCTCTCCCTCCCACCCTTTCCCTCTCTGCGCCCACCATCTGAGTCTCCAAACCAACAAATAATAAACCCGAACTGACAATGCGTTCTCCGAAAGGAGTTGTAGCTGCTGGCCGAGGCCGGGTGAGGGGAGTCTGTGTGGCCCTCCATTCCGTTATAAACTGGCTTTCGGGCAGCACAGAGTAGTGGCAATACTGGCCTAAACGTCCAGTGGAGATGTGCCTTCAACTGGCTCCTTACAGCCCTGGCAAACAGCAGTGGAGGCCGCTTATCGGTGGGTCGCCATCAATGTTCCCTCTAAGCTGTGGAGTCTTGTGAGCAAAGGGCTGCTGGCATTAAAGTTGTGAGCGAGCAATTTGGCCACTGCATAAATCAGTTTGCTCTGGAGCAATGTTCCCTCTAAGCTGAGTTAGTGTGAGCTAGCTCACAGTTTTTTAGCCTCCGGCTCACACATTTTTGTCTTAGCTCAGGAAGGAGGGCTCCAGAGCAAACTAATTTATGCAGTAGCCAAATCGCTGGCTCACAACTTTAATGCCAGTAGCTCACCAAGTAGAATTTTTGCTGACAAGACTCCACAGCTTAGAGGGAACCTGGCTCTGGAGCCCTCCTGCCTGAGCGAAGACAAAAATCTGAGAGCTGAAGGATAAAAAACTGTGAGCTAGCTCACACTAACTCAGCTTAGAGGGAACACTGGTCGCCATCGTGGATTGGGAAATGCCCAGAGATTTTGAGGTGGAGGCTGGGGAGGGTGTGGTTTAGGAAGGGGAGGGGACTCAACAGAGGATGTGATGCCATAGAGTCCACCTGCCAAAGCAGCCACTTCCCCCAGGGGGACCAATCCCTGTTGCCTGGAGAGCAGTTGTAATTCCAGGAGATCCCCAGGCCCCGCCTGGAGGTTGTGGAGATAGAAGAGAGAATCACGGTAAAAAGCCTAAGCAGTGGGGGAAAGACCGTGCCAATTTTATGAACAATACATTTCCATTATCTTATTATTACCTTATACTCTAATAAGCGAGCAGCTGTGGCTCAAGTGCTTAAGACGCTGAACTGCAGGCTGTGGAAGGTCGGTAGTTGAGCGGTTTGAGACCCGAGTGTGCCGCATGACGGAGTGAGCTCCCGTCTCTAGTTCCAGCTCCTGCCAACCTAGCAGTTCGAAAGCAAGACATTGCAAGTAGATAAATAGGTACCACTTCGGTGGGAAGGGAACAGCATTCCGTGCGCCTCGCTGTTTAGTCATGCCGGCCACATGACCATGGAAACGTCTTCGGACAGCGCTGGCTCTTCGGCTTTGAAATGGAGATGAGCACCGCAGCCCTAGAGTCGGACTCGACTGGCTTTCGAGCAAGGGAACCTTTACCTTTTACTCTAATAAGGTGCAAATGTGAAAATCCTAATGAGGATATTATCTCACAAGTCCAAATAATGGAAATTCCAAATATGAGTCCAGTACATCCCAAAGTCCATTCAAAAACAGAAGGTTTCCATAGTGGAGCTCCAGGTAGTCCAGTGAGTTTCCGTTCCACCTGGATCCAACTGTTGGCTGGGCGAGAGTGCTTTAAGCAACTGTTGGGATGTGGTGATTTAACAATCAGACAACTATCCTTATAAATGCATGAGGCTCTGCGATCTAGACGGAATTGAAACTCATCGGGCGAAATGGAGCTCCGCCATGGAAACCTTGTTTTTTTGAATGGACTTCGGAACATACTGGACTCCTATTTGGACTTTCCATTATTTGGACTTGCGAAATAATACACTCGTTCGGATTTTTGTATTTGTGTTTTGTTAGAGGATAAGATAATAATAAGAAGAAGAGATTGGATTTATACCCCGCCCTTCACTACCCAAAGGTGTCTCAGAGCGGCTTACAAACTCCTTTCCTTCCCCCACCCCACAGCAGACACCCTGTGAGGCGGGTGGGGCTGAGAGAGCTCTAACAGAAACGGCTCTTTTCTCAAGAACAGCTGTGCCAGAACTATGGCTTGCCCAAGGTCATCCAGCAGGTGCAAGTGAAGGAGTGGGGAATCAAACCCAGTTCTCCCAGATTAGAGTCCGCGCACTTAACCACTACACCAAACTGGCTCTTAATAATAAGATAATGAGATAATGCATGTTTATTGTTCATAAAATTGTCATGTTTTCCCCCACACTGATTAGCCCCACCTGGTGGATGGGAACCCGCCTTTTCCTGGGGGTCTTCCTTGCCTGTGGGGAGCCCTTCTTCAAGAAGTGGGAGGGCTTCTAATGTCCTGGCCCCGCTGGTGGACCTCCTGATGGCACCTGGTATTTTTGGGGCACTGTGTGACACAGAGTGTTGGACTAGATGGGCCATTGGCCTGATCCAACATTCGCTTCTCTTATGTTCTTATGTTCTTAAGTCACTCCGCATCTCCAAGAACCCTCCACTTGCGCACGTCCCTCACCTGCTGCTTCTGCCCTCCGCAGGTGCTGGCTGCTATCATGGCTGATGGCGAGAGAAGAGAACCTTTCCATGTGCTGTCGAGCGACGATGTCCGGGTGCCCATAACCTCCAGCCCCACCAGCAGCCAGGCGTCTCCGCCTGGGGAGGAGAAAGACGAGGATGCCCTCAGCGCTTGTAAATCGATCCAGGACAGTCTGGCTTCCGCAGGATCGTCCACCAGGGATCCAGCCCACGAGGGAGAGAACCAGGTTCCGTACCCGGCATTGGCCTCCACCGTCTTCTTCTGCCTCCACCAGACGACCCGGCCGCGCAATTGGTGTCTCAAATTGGTTTGTAACCCATATCCTTTCCCTCCTGGGATATCCATCGTTCGTCTTGCACAGGGATTCCGGGTTCCATCAGCCCCACTGTTAAACTTGTCAGAGGTCGGATCGAGGATTTATGTTTGCGTCGGTCTGGTTACCTACCCGCCGGCCCCACATCTCAGAAGGGGGTGAGTTCATTTCAGAAGGGGGCGAGTTCGTCTGTTTGGAGATCGAGCCTCTCGGATAGTTTGGGTTTCGTCATTGTCTTAGCACTGGTTAAAGTCAGTGCTCTAGGCCTGAGGACGGAGAATAAACATTGGGGGTTTCTCAAAGAGGAGTAGAGAAACTTTGGGTTGAGTGAAGATGGTTAGCATCATGCGGAAACTGGAGAATCTCCAGAAATGGGCTTTCTGGACTGAACAGGGGTCGATTCCGTTAGTGGTGAGTCTTGTTGGATCTGTTAGAAGTCGCTCTTTTCTGGCCGGGAAGGAGCAACTGGCCATTGTCCACACTTCCCTGTCAAATTGTGTGTGTGTACGTGTCTTATCACTTCCAACCGATGAAAACCCTATGAATGAATGACCTCCAAAATATCCTCTCTTTAGCAGCCTTGCTTGGGTCTTGTAAGTGGAGGGTCGTGGCCCCCTTGACTGAGTCCATCGATCTCATGTTGGGTCTTCCTCTTTTTCTGCCGCCTTTGACGTTTCCTGCCATATTGTCTTTTCAAGCGAGTCATGTCTTCTCAGAATGTGACTAAAGCACAGTATCCTCGGTTGAGTCATTTTGGCTTCTAGGGAGAGGTCAGGCTCGATTTGCTCCTGAACGCGCCGATTTGTCTTTCTGGCAGTCCACAGGTATCCGTTAACACTAGATTTCCAATGAATCGACATTCTTTCTGCCAAATCGTAGCAATGTTTGGACAGCTGTAGACAACGCTCCCTCTAAGCTGTGGAGTCTTGTGAGCAAAAATCCTACTTTGTGAGCGACTGGCATTAAAGTTGCGAGTGAGCCATTTGGCCACCTCCTAAATCGGTTAGCTCTGGAGCCATATCCTTCCTGAGCGAAGACAAAAATGTGTGAGCCGGAGGCTAAACAAACTGTGAGCTAGCTCACACTGACTCCGCTTAGAGGGAACTCTGGTTGTAGATGTTCATCAGTCGAAGGGAAACGGCAGAGGTACCTTATCAGTTTGCGTAACGGGTTCTTGTTACTGTGCACAGTAGAAAATTCTCTCTCCCCCCCCCCCAATGTGTGATATTTACAAAGAGATCTGCTTTTGACTTACACCAGGTCTGTCCGTAGGTGTTTTGATCCAGTTGGGTTGAATGAATTGCATGGACTGCATTCGGATGTTGCCCTAAGCACAGTTGGATTAAACTCCAGTTTCATGTGCAGTACAATCCCAAACAGAGTTGCAACCTTCTAAGCCCAGGGACTTCAATGCTCTTAGACAGGGTAGAAAAAGAGGTGCAGGATCTCATTAGCATAACTTATTTCCATATGCCACACCCCCTGACATCACCGGAAGTGTGTCAGAAGGCAACACCCACCGCTCAGGCTCCACTGGACTGGTTTGGATTGCTAGCTATTGGGGGGGGGGGAGACGCAGATTTGCCCTCACAGAGGAGGGAGAGCTTGTACCTGAAGGTGGGCCGGGGGGGGGCTCTGCAACTTACCTGGCTGCTTCTTGCTCTTCGTGGCCTGACTGAGGGCTGCTGGGAGCAGGGGGTGGGGCTTGTTGCATGTGCCCGCCCCCTGGGCTCCTTACTGCCGGAGCTCCGCTCCTGTGCGTTCCCGGAGGAAATGACCCTTGCTCTTAGAAGCGGCCAGCTCTGATTAGGATGGCATTGTAGCTATGGTGCCTCAGGGGGACCACAAACCGGAATTTTGAACAGTTTCTCCAGAAACACCAATTTTATTTATTTATTTATTTAATTTGACTTATATCCCACCCTCCCTACATGGCAGGCGCAGGGCAGGTTACATCAAATTTGATTTTTAAAAATACCACAATAACCTTCATCCGGTGCTGTTGTCATTGACATTACAACCTCACAGATGCCAACACAGAGCCAGTTTGGTGTCGTGGTTAAGTGCGCGGACTCTAATCTGGGAGAACCGGATTTGATTCCCCACTCCTCCACTTTCACCTGCTGGATGACCTTGGGCAAGCCTTAGTTCTGATAAGAGCTGTTCTTGAAAAAGAGCAGTCTCTGCCAGAGCTCTCTCAGCCCCACCTACCTCACAGGGTGTCTCTTGTGGGGAGGGGAAGGGAAAGGAGTTTGTAAGCCGCTCTGAGACTCCTTCAGGTAGTGAAGGGCGGGGTATAAATCCAATCTCTTCTTCTTCTCTGCTGGTATGCAGGTCTGACCCACGGAGGGGAGGCCCAGAAAAGAGGGAGGGACATCCGTCACCCTCATTGAAAGCCTGGCGGAAGAGCTCCGTCTCGCAGGCCCTGCGGAACTGTAAAAGGTCCCACAGGGCCCTGATTTCGTATGGGAGCTCATTCCACCAGGCAGAGCCCCGGGCCGAAAAGGCATGAAGTTGCAGCTGTCCTGTCCTGGTTCTTTCTCGTGGTAGCCGATGTATCAGGTTTTCTGAGCAGACTCCGGTTTCAGTTATTTGTTCTGCTACCCACAGGTCAGTATGCCATGGCTTAACTGGTTTCCAAAGTGGGCAATACTGCCCCCCGAGGTGCTGAAACAACCCAGGTGGGTGGTCAGAGCCTTGGGTGCAATTGCGGAGTGTTGAATACAAATAGGGGGGGGGTGGAAGCATAAAGGAAGGAGAGTCCAGAACCTATCCAAAGCAGTCTTTTGGTGGCAGGCCAAATAATTTTGGTAACCTATGCAGACTTTGACCAGTTCCCCACGGACAGGTGTACCGCCCTCGCTCCTCTGTTCCCCCCCCCCGTATTGGTCAATTTCCCACCCTTCGCTGAGTTTTGATCCGCACCCCCCCCCCAATTTCCTCCACGTGTTCTTGATCCTTGTTTTTTGAGATCGAGAAGGGGGGGGATCGGAGGGAGGTGCGGACCAAAGTGCAGTCGCACATCGAAGAGTGTGAAATTGACCAATACAACCGGGGGAAATGGAAGAGCGAGGGCGGCACAGCTGCTGGTGGGGAATCGGTCTTTGTTACACAGACAGGACTTGAACTTGAGGAGGGACATGGCACAGTGGCAGAGCCTCTGCTTGGCATGCAGAAGGTCCCGGGTTCAATCCCTGGCAGCATCTCCAGTTAAAAAGGACCAGGCAGGAGGTGATGGGAAAGACCTCTGCCTGAGACCCTGGAGAGCTGTAAGGTGGGACTGTGGCTCACTGGTAGAGCCTCTGCTTGGCATGCAGAAGGTCCCGGGTTCAATCCCTGGCAGCATCTCCAGTTAAAAAGGACCAGGCAGGAGGTGATGGGAAAGACCTCTGCCCAAGACCCTGGAGAGTTGTAAAGAGGGGCCGTGGCTCATTGGCAGAGCCTCTGCTTGACATGCAGAAGGTCCCAGGTTCAATCCCTGGTAGCATCTCCATTTTAAAAGGACTGGGTAGTAGGTAGTGTGAAAGACCTCCACCTGAGACCCTGGAGAGCCACTGCCAGTTTGAGTAGGCAAGACCTCGATGGACCCAAGGGCAGATTAGGCAGCTTCATGTGTTTGTGTGTGAACTGTACATCACAACTCCTTGCCTTCTTTTGGTGCCCATGTCCGTAAACCCAACACTTGGTTTGGTGTTGTGGTTAGGAGCATGCCAGACTCTAATCTGGGAGAATCGGGTTTGATTCACCACTCCTCCACATGCAGCCAGCTGGTGTGACCTTGGGTCAGTCACAAGTTCTCTCAGAGCTGTTCTCTCAAGGGCAGTCCTCGAAAAAGCTCTCTCAGCCCCACCGACCTCACAGGGTGTCTGTTGTGGGGAGGGGAAGGCGAAGGAGATTGCAAGCTGCTCTGAGACTCCGAGTTTAAGGGGGGGATATAAATCCAATCTCTCCCTCTCTCCTCCTCCTCCTCCTCCACAAAGTGGACTATCATTGCCGCAAAGGTATAGCAAGACTTACAAACTCCTTTCCCTTCCCCTCCCCACAACAGACACCCTATGAGGCGAGTGGGGCTGGGAGAGCTCTGACAGAAACTGCTCTTTTTCAAGAACAGCTCTTATCAGAACTACGGCTTGCCCAAGGTCATCCAGCAGGTGGAAGTGGAGGAGTGGGGAATCAAACCCGGTTCTCCCAGATTAGAGTCCGCGCACTTAACCACGACACCAAACTGGCCAAAGGTAACCCAGCCATTTTCCATTGCAGAGTAGAAACCTGAACTCCTAGATCCTAGCCTGACCCTCTAGCCACTATACCATAAAAGTGGGGAAGGGGGGGTGGATTTTAGAGTATAGTCAGACTCCAATAAGATGGCTGGCCAAAAACGCACGTTTTGATGTCAAGGTGTTAGTACTGGGATATTTGGTTAATATAGCAGAGTGTTGCCCAGTCACAGAAGCGTGATGCTGAGTTCAGGAAAAAAAATCTCCCAAGAAGTATATTGCAAAAAATGTAAACTTAGATTGGTTCGAGCAGATCCAGTTCACATTCAGGTTGTGGTCAAAAGGAGAGAGAGAAGCCTCATCCACGGTCTACTTTCCCTGTCACAGATGGCCAGCTTTCCTGGCACTGTGTGTGTGGGAGGATGAGGGCATTGTCTCTACGGGAGAGACCTGCAGAGACGTGTGTCTGTATGGAAGGCCATGTGCAGGGTGGGAGAGGACAAAGGGAGAGAGGAAGGGTCAGAGGGCAGCTCCCAGGTTAAACACCTAGAAGAAGATGAGATTGGATCTATACCCCACCCAGCCCCGTAGCTAAGGACTTTTTAAGGAGGGGGCCACCTGCTAATCCAATCAAAGGCTCCAGGGAAAGGGCTGCAGCAGCCACAGCCTCCGAGTTCAGCTCCCCCCCCCCAAGGAGCCCCAGTGCTTCTTCCCACAGCACAGCACCAGGGACAGCCTCTGAAACCTCCCTGCCAACAGGCTGACAGGCAGTCAGGGGGGGTTGGGGT